TATCACACAGCTAGTTGTTTTAGGGGTATCACACAGCTAGTTGTTTTAGGGGTATCACACAGCTAAAAAAGCTGACATGTTTTAGGGGTATCACACAGCTAAAAAAGCTGACTTGTTTTAGGGGTATCACACAGCTTAAAAATCTGACTTGTTTTAGGGGTATCACACAGCTTACAAATCTTACTTGTTTAAGATGTATTTTTCTAATCCAGATAAAGACATCCTTGTGGCAATAATAAAACTACGATACTAATCTGCCGTCTATAGAAAATCTGTCAGCTTTATATAAACACAGGTCAGCTCTATCTTAATAAATCTGATCCTGAGAGCCTACACGGTCGGGTGGTGTATGGATTGTCGATACATTACACGTTTCAGTAGACTTTAGATTGGTTGTTTAATTCAATGCTGTATGTACTTTTATGTTTTAACAAACGTGTAGCTTTCTGAATCCGCCACATATGATGATAGTTTAATGAAGTTAAAAATAAAAACGAATTCGATTTGTTTTAATTATTTCAAACAAAATACATTGTAACTGCATGTTTACACTTTTGTACGTAACAGAAAAGAGCTGTGTAATCTAGGAAAGTATCTGCAATCAAGTTGGTTAGAACGGTCTAGATTCCAACCTTCGGTTACTGTTTTTTCTCACCCTGACTGATAACATATGAGTACTTGTTTATTTCCAGGTTTACACATATTGTTTTGTCCATCCCCTGATCACTACACCACTGTATACAAATTGTATGCCTGTTTTTGTTTGTTTTTGTAATTAACATATTACTTTATTGAGCCCCGGTTGATATTATGCTAAGAAAAAGGTTGTGACCTCATCTGTTTTCCGACAGCCACGATACACTTAGGTGAGGTAACTTTACAAGAGCTCTCCATCTTCCGATAATTTATTTATCTTGTACTTTATAATAATTTAAAGAATTATACTGTCCATTTATAGGTACTATATATATATATATGCGATGTAAAAGATTATGCTTCATTCATGATGTTATAATTATTTGGTATTTCATATCACTGATGTATCAATTATACGTTGCTGTATATGCTTATGAGCCGTAAGGCTTCAAGTTGAATAAACAATACAACAATACAACACTTTTGGCTCTGAAAAATATGATAGGTAGACAAAATTTTACTATGCGCAATATAAAAACGGGGGGCTGGGACAAAGATCATTGTCAATAACGGGTGTTACTTTATTACATGTACATGTCTTCACTTGTGTATTATACTTACTAACACGTGTATTTTGATTTTATGTACTTACACGTGTATTTTGATATATATATATGTGTATACATATGTGATATACGTCTCTGACTTCACCCACGTCCTTGATCAATGACATATAAACAAGGAGACAAACACGAACATATCGCAACCTCCCAAAATACACACGCATACACAACACGCATGCATCTTGCACACAGAGGAGGTCGTCCTTAAATGACCATAGCTGTTAATAGGACGTTAAACAATACTAAACCAGATAAAACATATTCAGTGACCTTTGACCCATTACCTACAAATTGTCCACAGCTGTACGTTGTCGTCTTTGTACGATCTATACAGGAACCGCCCTAACGTACGACTCACGTGTCACGTGTTAATAGATCGATATAAACGTATCTACCAACTAACACAACAACCACTAAAAATATCCTCACACAACCAACCAACCAACCAACCAACCAACCAACCAACCAATCCATCCCCCTCCCACAAACCATCCCCAACATCACTCCGGTCCAGACTACCAGCATTTAATAAAACCCATAAATCCTTCTAAACATCTCTTGACACCCAGCACATCTTTCAACCTCCATCCCCTCCATCCCCCATCCAGGTTATAACCCAACTATAACACTAATCCCCCCCCCNCAAGTCGAGGTTTATAAGAAAGATGACAATGATACAAGTATAGTCATGTTTATTCTCAGTGACGAACAATGAGGAGAGGAGTACATGGAATGGACAACAACAAAACAGCACATGCATGACACTAACCACTAATGTTAAGTCCGTCGGATGGGACTATAAATGGTGACCCGTGTGAGAACTGTCCAATCTCGCACGGAAAAAATCCCTCTGGGTCTTTCGAAAAAGAGTAGGCGCGTAAACGCCGACACAGAGGATAGTGAAAATTGTAATAAAAAAAAATAAGCCGTTAGAACTAGGGTCTCTTTATTAAGACATTTAGATGGACTTATAAATTTTATATAAAAGCCACATTCATAGAATAGGCAGGGGCTGGTGTGGCTGGAAGCGGCACAGTACCTCACTTCCGGTCCTGACTTGGTGATGCTGTACGATGAGTGTTAGGTTAAGGAATAAAACTAGACTTATACAGTTAATATATATAGGATAGACGGCCCCTTCTCTAACCTATCCCCCTCCTCTACTCTTTTACTCCATACTTTATCCCTTCTACTTATTTTCCTTTCTGTTCTTCGTCTGCTGGATAACCGAAATACTCGGTAGTGAAGCGGACGTAAAACCTATCAATCAATCAATCAATTATCTACCAACTGATCCGTCTTAGGCTCCGTGTGATACGTTGATAATCGGTTATAAGGTCACGCGAGATGTGTCAACGGACCTTTTGAGTATTCTATGACAACAAAAATATCTACAAAGGATGGAAGTCTAGTGGATGCACATGAATAAAATATGATGCAACGACAGGGTAGGAACAGTATACATTTGTCGTTTGGAATTCAATTTCTTTCCAATTTTTAGCAGTAAACAATTATATTTCATTGATGACATGTATGGCATTTGCACATTTCTCTGTGCATAAAGTATTAACAAAACGTCGGTCACGGCATATCAATAATTCGTCGGTCACGACACATTTGTAGCGTCAACTGCAGCGAAAAGGCGAGGGAACTTCGAATAGACAATACTCCGCATCAAATATAAATAACAAAGAGATAGTCATTAAATTCAAACTAAGGATTGTAAAGACTTTTTTACATTGTCTAGTTCACTCCTATATATCATTGACTTTTATAGACTACAAAATATTGTAAATACTATTGACTTTGGTATAGATCATTTATATATTAGTGTAGAGTCTATTAACTCTCGTATAGACTAGCTTATAGAATATAGTATAGTTATGGGATATTGTATAGATTAATGACGCTAAAGACTATCGTATAGATCATTGACTATTGTTAAGATGAGGAAAACATATATATGTAAAAGCAGCTCGATTTCATTATGTAGTTAAAAGGTATTTGTTGGGAATTTTAGTATTTCAACAACTTACAGCCACTCACCACGATACAGCATGACACACCATTCTCCAATACACACATCCCTACTTCACCCTGGGGAAAATCTATCGCCACACTGTTGACTATAACTCCTGATTTAAAATACACCACCATCACACACAATTACACCATCACCACAGTAAATAGAGATACCTCCAGTTTAACCTTACCCCGGGGTCTATATGTATTCCCCATTATTACCCTTACCCTGGAGTAAATCTAGACACCACCAATTTCCCTCTTACCTTGGGGCAAATAAAGAGCACCCTCCACCAGCTTACTCTTACCCTCAAAGTCAATCTGCCCCCTCCACCTTTACCCTTACATTGGAGTAAATATACATCTCCCTCCACCAGCTTACTCTTACCTTCAAAGTCGATCTGCCCCCTCCACCTTTACTCTTACATTGGAGTAAATATACATCCCCTCGCCCCTCCCTCCACCAACTTATTATTTCCCTCCGAAATAGTATAGATCTGACATTTTACCCTTACATATTAAAAGGGCGAAAATTCATCCCCCTCTGTCAGCCTAATCTTACACTCAGGGTCAATATGCACCCCCCTCCCCNGTATAGATAGATTAGTATAGATACCCTATCTTACCCTTACCTCAGGGTAAATTAAATCCACCTATTTTAACCTTACCCAGGTGTCAATATTAACTAAAGGTAAACTCTTCTTTACATTGAGATAAATATATCATTTTATTAGAATTGTATTCACGTGATTTGGTATCAATTCATTCCCTAAAGACGACTTCCGGGAAATACGTATATATACAGTCGTGTATTCCAGATATCGGTAGGAAGTCAGCTATGTGTAGCCCTCCCCCCC